TCCTGCCCAGCGACGAAACTCTGTAACCCCTCCATTTGAACCTAAAGTGTAACAAGGGGTGAGAAACAATAATCATTTAGAGAAATTAGTCAAACGATATTCAATCATACTCTTGTATGTTCGTCCACATCTTGACCTTCCTTCATCTTACGAGTTCGGAGGAACATTTCAACCTCAGTCAGTTCCTCATCGTTCCCCTTCTCCTTTTTCTACTTGAAGTCAACAAACAGTTACAAGAAATTTCATATACGAGAATTGAAATCATGGAATAAAATGAGTCATAGAACAGTTTACCAGCTTATCGCGATGTCGTGCATAGCTGATCCTTCCTGATCTATGTTGAGTCACTTGACTTTGTCGAGCCTTACTGTTATTTTCACTTTGTTCCTGCAATTTGAATGAAATAAAGCCTTATAGAACTCCATGAATGTTATAAACCAAGACAATTGATTAACATATCTAGAGATTACCTTCACAGCTTGATTCTCCCAATGATCCAAAAGACATTCCATTACATTTCTTGGGATCGTATCAGGACAATTTGCCAACTTCTCAGCCCTTGTTTTGAACGCATTCATCTTTGCTTTTGTGTTACACTTATGTCTCCTCCAAGCTGATGATATCGTCTTCATAACCCACTTGTGACAAATGGGTGGAACAACATACTTGGACTACAGGATACATGGAGTTTCATATGATGAAGGCAAAAGAAAAATGCTTACAAATTTGGGGAAATCAAATATGTATAGGAGGAGCGTAATACATACATTAACATAATTCAACACGTTGAGCTTTTTCTCTTTCGGAACACATGTCCATGAAACATAATGGAGGGGGAGAAACTTGCTGCTACGTGCCACGGTTCCCAAGAAACTACTGAATTGGTCGCAAATCTTATCATTCTTAACTGGTTGTCCAAATTCGTTAACAATGACAATATCACGTTCTTCAAGTTCTCGAGCGTGAATCGCCTTGCATTTAGTAAGGCCTCTGGTTCTCTTACGTTCTGTATTCAAAACAAATAAATGAACAACGCAAGCAAGGCAGAAGCTTTAACAAAAGTTACTGATATACCTGAGTCTTTTGCTTGATGGTTAGACTCATTGGTAACTCCCTCCTCATCATATGTATTCTCAGCTTCCTCTTCACTACATTCTTGGTCAGTGGAGTCATATTCGCCATCATCTTCCATTTCGTAATCTTCATCATCTTCCTCACACTCAATCCTTGTTGTTCCTTTGTGTAGCGAAGAGGGACCTCGATGATTAGCTTTGGTAGGAAAAGATTGTGAAGTTGTAAACTCCTTGCTTGGAATGGACACTTTCTTCGAATGTCCGACATTCTTTCTCGAGACCTGAACTGCATCTCCAATTGATTCGAGAGGTTGTGTAGCTGACTTTGCCTTGAGTCTTCCCCCGAGTTGCATTTGGGATCGAATCTTGGGATTTCAGCCAATCATTCCAATTGCACTTTTATCTGGTTGGTTTGATTTTTTCTTCGACGGGATGCATGTATTTGGACCCTTACTTTTCTCTGGTACTTTGAGTTTCATCATACTGGTTGACATATATTTACTAAAAATTAAGAATCAATAAAAGGGATGCATGCATCTATGGAAACAAAGGGGCATATATGATAGCAACTTTACACAGTAGCCAATGTTACAATTCAGAAGATAAAAAACCCCCAAAAAAGGAAAAACACAATGCAAAACGAAAGGTCCAAACACAATTACTTAAAAACAAATCATCTTAAGAGTTTATCATACATCATTGAACTTAAAAAATATGCAGATCATTTGATAAATGCGAGAATGGTATTAGATGAAAAGCCAATCAGCCAAGAAAGTTCAAAGTGAAAACAAAAGCAATAGCAGGTTCAGAAGTATAAGCCGGATTGGTGAGCAAAAACAAAAGCAAAAGCAAGTACTTACCTTGTGGACGGGGCAGCTGAAATTGAAAACAATCTCAAATAAGTTTTGAGAAATCACTCATATATGATATCCTTAGATTGTGCAAGGTTTACCGTGATATATAAGAGCCCAAGTCGGCGGTAAATTTTAACGAGGAAGGAGGGAAACAAAAAAAATTGCCAGTCCCAAATTCCAAACTTAGCAGGAAATTCCATGTCTTTCTATTCCTTGTCGATCACATCGCCCGCCAAAATTGTTAATATTATTAAAATCAAAATTAATTATGGTAAAAAAACTATATTTGTAATATTGCTTTTAATGTTTATCAATGAAGTTGTGATGATCAGATTATTGTCACTTAACGTTTATATAGTTATAGATTACCAATATTCTTTCTACCAAAAGATAATTGAGTATCAATCATCTGAATCTGATCTTACAGTCCAACACTCTCATCTCTGCCAAAAAAATTCCTTCTTTCAATCGTTATTTTGCCAATTTTATTATCCATTCCGAATTGGTCACGAGTAGGAATGAAAATGAGTCGATATGCAAATGAATTGGTCACAATTAGGAGTACAAATGAGTAGAGTTCAGTCAAGTTTATAACTAATTTAGCTCAGTCCATTAGTAAACCAGTAGAGCTCGAGCGAGGCTCTTTTATTAAAACCTCAATTGTTTCGTGTTTGATTCGAGTTCAACTTGACCTCGACTCATTAATCATCTACGACAAAAGTTGTATAGTTAAAAAAACCTAATTATGGTATGCATGTTATTGGAATACAAGTGGCAACATGTATCTCACTGGTCGGGCATCGTGACAAAAAAAAATTTTTGTTGTACAAACTGAACTTATAAGTACTTCTACGTTATATATAGTGCAATCTGCTTTGCCTACCACATGAAATTCTCACTTCTCACTTTAGACAATACGGAAATTAGAGGCTAGTCGCTCCTCAATCATTGGTCTTTATGTGGAATGGCTGAATAGACCATGTAACACCTTCTTATACCTTTTTCAAAAATTTCAAATAAAGTGTACAAACTGAACTTAAACCATAACATTAAACCGTAATATAAGAGTATAATTTTTTTTGTACAAACTGAAGTTATATATTTAATGTTAGGGTAAATGCCACATTTGGTCACTGGATTTACTGAAACGTGTCATGTTTAGTCACAAAAATATTAATATCAACTTTGGTCACTCAAATTACTGAAATAACTCATATTTAGTCACTCTCCATTAGTCTCCGTCCAACTGCGTTAACAGAGTACTTTATGCACTAACATGGCTAACGGAACCGCTAGTCAACATCGTTTTGGACCGGAATTAGTCAAACCTGACCCGCTACATCACTAAAACCTCCATATCATATGCCCAACCTCACCCATTAACCCAACCTGACCCAATCAAACCCTAACCAGACTCGACCATGTCTCACCGTCGTTTGAGTGTCCTTTCTCCTCTCTTTCTTCAATTTCAGAGAAATTGACCAGCATGGCCTTCTAATTAGGGCTTCCGGTGATGACGATGAAAGCATCCAGGGAGGAAGCCGAGTAAGGTGAAATAGATTGAAGCTAGAGCAAGGAAGGATCCCGTCGTCAACTTGTAGATTCGCGAGGCAGATCCACCTTCGCAACGAAAAAGGATGAATCAGTATGTGCTTATACTTTTTGGTCTAGTGGGGACCTGACCATTGCACACCTCTAGCTCTTGCTTCACTCCCATTTTGTGTCACTTTAATAAGTAGTCCTACTCATATATAATAAGAAAACATTGTAGTACGAATTCAATATGTTATTATGCCTTTTCAAAAATTTCATACAAACTAAACTTAAACCATAACATTAGATTGGTAACATAAGAGTACAAATTTCATATAAAAAGTCTCAATAGTGAATTAGAAGTATTTTATCCAGCTAAATTTGTATTATCATAGTATACAGCCGTGAAGGCAAACACTATGGATTGTACTTTCTCGATAAAAAATTATAGGCTAGGGATCTCTGTTTTAGCAAAACTTCTTCCTTAACTAAGATTTTTTATTTAATAATCTGCTTCTTCCTTAACCAAGATAAATCCAATAAATCGTCCAAAAAAAGAAACAGTAACTCTTGGGAAATCCTCCTAACCATAACAAATACCCGGACTTTCCTATTCCAAATTAATCTCTATGATAATTAAAATTAAATTCATGACTTTTATACTCTTCATCTCCCGAGTGCTGAAAACCTCTTATTCTTTGCATCTGCCGCCTAATACATCTCTCCCGTTCTTGGACGCAGCCCTTGTTCCCTGTTAATCTCACACAATTCCGCCGCTCTACCCGATTTATTAAGTGCTTGGTTAGTGTTTATATCCTGTTAATTAGATTTTGTACTGCTCGTAGGCCTTAAGATAAGATGATTTGCAGCGTTCTCTTGTGCTCTTCTTCTCGTGATATGCTATGTTGCAACCATTTACGAGATGTTTGGTTGATTCGGCCGGCTTTTTTGTTGCTCCCTCCTTCCACCGAACTTTGTGATATGATCTTTTACTTTGCTTTAGCTAGCCAAGATGTTTCTGTTCAGCATCTGCCTATTTTCTTGACTTCTTCACTATTGCAGTCTTGTTGTCCCCTGTTTCTTGTGTTTAGGGGTGCTGCTGTCCAATTTTTCCCCGTAATAAGAAAATGATAACGCCCATTTTTCATGTGCATTTGTACTCACAAACAGAACAGAGCGCTTATGTTTGCATTACCTTCTTTTCCCCTTTTACAATGAAACCATGTTTTGATAGGGGTCATGAGCTCTTCTTATCTTGTGTACTCGACAAAAAGAGCAAGGGAAACACCAGTAGAGCAATCTAAATCAACGGCCTCTGACAGTGATGAAACAAGATCTGAGTTGCAAGATGCATTGTATGATTCTGATGAGACTCAAAATCATAATGATCCCTTACGTGCGGGACACTCCTTTGTACCCGAGTGAGAATTCGAATCCGAGGCTTCAGAAGGTACCGTTCATGTTAAATTTCGATTTAGTTCTATAATAAAGTAAATATGAAATATTATATATATTTTGTTACAGTGAAGAAAAGAAGAGGCAAAACGACATGTAACGCAGTTGAGCTAGCAACAAGGAATGGAATAAAATTGTGGTGAATATCTCTAGTGATGGTACAGAAGCTATAGGTAAGAACGCGCGGAAATTTGTAAATTTTTGTGGACTCGTAGTGAGAAGCAATGTGAAGTTGAGCATTGAGACATGGAGTAAAGTGGACGGAGCTCAGGTTGATAAATTATTTAAATGGGTGGAGGTAAAATTATGACTTATTATTTTCATTTATATGTTTACAAACTATCGATGCTACATTAATTGTTGGTTTTTATTTGTAGGAGAAATTCACTAATAGCAATAAACAAGCTCTTAGAGATCTTATGTGGATCAAAATGAGCTCAGCACATTCGAGTTGGCAATATCGTGAGCACAAGGACTTCCTTGCTCTTGATGATAACCAAAGGGGTGTCTATGTTCCTGAAGGTGTTGATGCTGAGGACTGGGCACAAGCTGTTCAATATTGGATTTCTGATGACTTCAAAGTACGTATATACATTTACATGTGAAGTTGTAAATACTATAGTTATTTATAAATGTTTGATTATTATTAACATATGTTGAATTTAGGAAATGAGTAAGAGGAATAAGCAGAATAGAGAAAAGGTGGAAGGGAAAAATACTTGTGGTTCAAGAACATACGGAGAAGTAGCAGACAATACGGTAATGAGGTTTATACCGTTACTTTCATTTTTTGTATTAATAGAACAACTTTAGGAGGATTATTATCCCTTTGAAATTCTGGTTAATTACCTAGTATTCTTAATCGTCCATAAATTTAATTATTGAACTTTGAATTTCAGAGAGATCCGTTAACTGGAAACAAAAAGTCTCACGATGAGATCTATTACGCTCTACATACCAAGAAGAACAAACAAGGAGATATATTATGGCCTGATCCTAGATCTAAAGCAATCTATGTAAGTTAGACTCTTATTTGCATTGGTGTATCATCTTATACAAGTTTATGAGTACAACATATATTTGATGTCTATACTTAGTATGCGATGATTTTTTTTCAAAGTGATTTACACATAAATTCTTTCATTTTACAGTTAAAAAGAAAAGAGTTGGTTGATGCGGGATCGAAATTGACCTGCAAAGAGATGGTTCGTGTAGCTTCGGGAAAGCCTCCTCCTTCTCGAAGAGGGGCAAAAAATAAATTAATATTGAGGGCAGAGATAGAAGCAGAGGTACAACAACAATACAATGTCAAATTAGCAGAAGAAAAGAAGAAATTTGAAGATCGTATAGCCCGCCTACAAGCAAAGTACGAAGAAGAGGCTAGAGAAATGCACCATGAATGACTAGAAAATTTTGTTGTTGGTCTAGACAAAACTTATTATAGTATTTTGTCCTACTATGTTTAGTTTATATCATTAATTTTTTTTTTTTTGAAGAGTGTTCTCTATTATGAGTTCAATGTGTTTCATTTAATATTTTAGCTAAATATTTTTTTATTATTAACAAAATCTCATAACAACAAATCATACGTGACAAATTATATTTTCACAAAAACACTACGATTGTGGCAAGACCTAGTCACAAAAGGGACCCAATTGTCATGAGTGTAGTTGTCATGGTTGATATACATTTGTGATAATGCTTCATGTCACCATTGAGGTTACTGTGGGTGTATTTATTGTCACCAAAGAAGATAAAATGTGACAATATTGATGTCACAAATAATATGTATGCGTGTCGCTTCAAATCCTCACTGATATTGCATTATGTGGTCAATATAGTTGCCACAAAAAATGCTGTTAGTGATGATCAGATTGTCACTAATACATACATTTGCTTACAATGCCCAATGGTCACAAATATTATCATATGTGATTAATAGTTTTGTCACAAAAAACTATTTTTGTGTGCGCTTTTGCCACCAAAACATAAATATGTGACAACATTGTTCTCACGAACAATACACATTTGTGATGACCAAAATCCTCACTAATGTTGAAAATTAGTGATGGCATTACGTGTCACAAAAAATACTTTCAATCGCGTAACAGATCGTCACTAATATATACTATTCTTACAAAGTAGAATCGTCATAGATATTGTCAATCGTGGTAGAACAGTCGTCACAAAAGTGGGCTTTCATGACAAATGTTATCATAACCAAAGGTGTAATGTGACAATCAAAAAAACTTTGTCACTAATGCTATTACACCTATAACGATAATCGTGTCACAAAAAATTAATTTTCTGACCATAACGCCGTCACAAAAACCTCCTTTTGTGACAAAAGTTCAGCCGAATAAGAATAGCATTTGTGACGACTAAAAAGTGTTACGATTGAGACAAATTTAGTGACGACATAAACTCGTCACAAGCGCAAAGTATTTGTTACAATCTGAAAGTTGTGACAATTGAGTACGTCTAATGTGACGACAAAGTACGTCATGAATAATGCATATACATGTTGGGTATGCATGTCAAAAAGTGTTGCCTATATATTTTGAAGTGTTGCAAAAAATGGTGTTGCGTATAGGGTATACATACGCGACACATTTTTTTGTTGTTGCAAAAAGTTAAAAAAATGTTACTTATTACTTTATACAACACCACCTATAGGGGACACTACTAAAAGTGTTGCATATCACTTATGCAACACATTCGACACTTCTTGCAACACATTTCAAGTGTTGCCAAAAGGCACTTTTCCCGTAGTGAGGGTTGTTTGGTTTTAGTGATTGTTTTATTAACATATGTATAATTTGTCCACAACGCATTGTTTTTTGAAATTTCTGCACAAACAATACATGCATTGTTGTTTGATGTGATGGAAACTAACACTCAAAATGAGTGATAGTATTATCCCCACTAAAACTTGAGATTGTTGAGATAGTTTTGAGTAGATTGCTGGTTTCCTTTTTTTTTTTAATGAATCGGTATACTTTCATTTCATCAAAAAGAGCTACTGGCAACAACCTTGCCAACTAGGTATGAATCCTGGAAAACGGAGTAACAATCTATCAAACTACCATAGTAAACTGATAGGGCAAAAGCGTAATGCCAATTCCTATCTTTTAGTAAAACCGGAAATCCAGGTATCGTCTCTCAGAGACTGGTACAACCTTATAATTTATCAATTGTTTGGAGCAAACTATAAGTGAAAAAATGGTTTGGTTGATGAAATTATTAACTAATAGCAAAATAATTAAACTAATTAAGCAAAGTAAACTTGTCGGGAGAAATTCAATGAGAGAAAGCTCTGGGAGAAACACTGGGATTCACTACCTATCCTATCCATCCAACTCTCTACAGCCAGGATATCACGAATGTGCTAGCTATCCCTGTCGGGAATTACTACGTACTAAACAATTAAATCAAATCCTACTGTCGTAGCTCAATGACTTAATTATATAGCCTGAAGATCGATATCCTATTTAAGACCACATAGCACCTTATTTAATCCACTGTCGCTTCGATAAGTTACAATGTCACATGAAATATGTTTAGTTATTAGGGTTTCACAGTCGCTAATAACCTAATCAACTACAAATCGATGTATTGGTGGCCAATCAACACAAAGCATTACGTAATTTCAGGCGACAGAGATTGGAAGAAGAAAAATATGAACCAATCCATCAAATCAAGAAATAGCTACATCCTATGGTGTTTCCCCCAGAAATTGGGGTTTAGTTCATGATAAAACTAAAACACATAATCATGTTCTTGTTCATCATCTTATTAATTAAAGCTAAAGAAAAAATACTGAGATTATCGGACGTAATCCCGGCACCAATTCCTTCTCACTCCAATCGCCTGTCACTGCTCGCAAGTCGCCGCCTTCTCTCTATTTCCGCGCTGCCGCTCGCTGTTGTCACTGCGCTCTATCCAATTAATTCCCCCGTTGCGCAGCGCTGCTCTCGCCAAAGATTTTTCGTGTCCCAAATAATTCCCCTAACTAATTAATTGCTTCCCTGCCTGCCGTGTTCCACTTCTCCCAATCTAAGACCACAAACTCCCTAATTATTCCGCCCAAGAATCCGGTCCACAAAATCCCTCAGGCCAATTAATTCCATCTTCGACTTTCACCCCGAACCAGGAAAGAAAAGTGCCGCCATGGCCGGTCCAGTTAATTGGAGAAACAAACCCATCCGTCCCCTTAGAGTCAATCCATTCAGCGATGCCAATTTCTCATCTCATTTACCTAAAAACATATAGAATATTTGGCACTCGACGGTAATGGTTATATAACCATTCCGAGCTTAGTTGGACCAAAAAAACAAGCATTATATGTCTTAAACTTATCATGAAATAATCATATTAAGAACACAAAATCAATATATTTTCAACAATTATCACAGCCCCACACTCAATATTTGCTTGTCCCTAAGCAACGACTCAAACAAGAGAACTATGATTGGAGGAAACACAACACATACAGAGAGACACAACCCTGCTCAAAACACAAAAACCCATGACACACAAAACACAACATTAACACCAAATATTTATCCTTGTACTCTTGTCATAATCAGCAGTTTCTTTCTCAAAGGATGAGTTGTGCTTTAAGGATCATACCTTTCATCCCACACTCATGTTCTTTGTAACCATTAACATTGACTGACTCAAATCAACCAAAAACTCAATTAGCAACACTCGATTTCGATCGTCGGTAGTGGGTGGTTAACAACTTATGGTGTAACAGTATTAGGAGAATCTAACCACATCAGTGAGGTGCATATCTCGTGAGGACAATCTGGCTTACTCACATAAATCATAAGCAGCCAACTAAGCACAAGAGTCTAAAAAACTAATGGGGAAGCCTTTCGCAAACATGATTTTAACTTTAAGACATCACTACCTTTTCTGACAAGGAGAGTCTTTCTCTCTTTCTGATTTTGCTTGCCTAGTGGTCGTATTTAGTACAAGTTGGATTTTTTCTTACTACCGGTGATCAAGCAAGAGAAATTTCCGCTTCTTAGCACTCGCATAAGGGCTTTTTCAACTCCTTTTTCTCGGTCCGTGTGGAGGGTCACTGCACATCTCAAACGACACTTCACTCAGCGGGGGGATCGTACTTGATAAGCAACATCGTACATTCGCGAACCGATGCTCAGTTGAACCTTTCCTAATCCCCTTGTGCAATGAGTGATTGCCTCACACGATTTTGGCATTTTTACCCACACTTTAATTGTTATGGCAACTTTCTTATATTTTACTTGTCAGGTAGGATTTTTCTTTATATAAAGATACAGTTCACCCCATCTAAAACATTCAAAACAGAGAGACTCATTGCAAAATCAAAAGCTCACAACTGATGCAAGTAAGCACGGTATCCAAACATCTCGAATGGTCAATGTTCTCCAAAGATAAAAGAGTGTTGCTAAAAGAGTTTGCTCATTCAAAGCATATCAAGTCAGTCAAAAAATCAAATTCATTGTGAATAACTTTGTAATTCAACACTAGTGGGGTGATTTTGATGATTTCATTCAAGCACAAACTAATTTTCAAGGCATCATGGTCATTTACATCATGTTACCCCAAGAGTACAAGGTTTTGTTTTTAATTTTCTGATTTTTAGGTGTTTTTTAGCCATTAGGTTAGCACAGGCAGACTGCACCAGCACAGGTATACTGCATGCAGTTTGGCTGTGCTCAACGCAAATGACAGTTTTTTTTGGATTTTTTTTACCCCATGCAATAGGGACAAACAAACACTAAGACTCACCACCCCACACTCAGGATGGAACAATGTCCCTAATGTTCAACTCCTAATCTAAACATGCACGGGTTTGACACAACAAAAAAGAAAAAATAAAGAAAAGAAAACTCACCTTGGGTTGCCTCCCAAGAAGCGCTTGTTTAACGTCCTTAGCTTGACGTTCATGGAGCTTTCAACCAATGGGTATGGAAAGGTATCCAGCATACCCTCCCGAGCAATGATAGAACACATAACCTCCATCCAACATATGAGTCACCTCAGCAGGGCCATGTGTGCGAAAATTGGGTATGACCTTCTTAGTTGGCATGTTGGATCCTTTAGTGAGACGTAGGTGGTATTGCAGTGCCTCAAGAAAGTACTCTTCCTGTTTCAATGTCAGTGAAGAAGGAATAATAACAGGAAGATTGAAATCCTTACCCAAATATCTATACTTGAGGTGATCTGGCAAGGATTTCTGTCCTTGCTTTGATTTCAGAATCTGAGCAGATAGGACATGTGATATTGTTAAGGTTGTTCACTATTACAGGAGAAGGGATTTTTACTTTCTCGAACTCCACTTTCAAAGTCATCAAATGCATCATGATTATGATCAACTTGAAAGACATTAAAAATTTCCTCCTCCGTACCTACTCGGAATGTCAGTTTGCATCTCCAGTTGCTAGAAAAGGTCTCCCAAGAATGAGAGGCACTCCCCGATCTTCTTCCATCTCCAAACTCACAAATTCTGTAGGGAGAATAAACTTCCCCACCTTCACCAATACATTCTCCACCACTCCCTTTATAATTTTCACTGATCGATTGGCCAATTAAAGAGTGATCAGAGTAGGCTTAAGAACATCTCCCAATCCCAATTTCTTGTAGACTGAGTATGGCATCAAATTAATTCCTGCTCCAAGATCACAAAGTGATTTATCAAACTCTCTATCTCCAATGACACATGGAATGGTGAAGCTTCCTGGATCATCCCTCTTTTCTAGTAATTTATTCTGAATCACGG